CCGTGGATCTTCCACTCCGTTACCTCTAACAATTCGTCGATGCCGTCAACGCGTGTTGGACCGTCATAGGAGGTAACTCAAGCCAAGGACGCGATTAACAACGAGACATCGTCATCGGGGCCGAGGAACTGAAGAAACACAAGATATGCGAACATCGGTTTTTTGTCGAGACTGTATTCGAGGAACTCTATACCCTTATGTAAATATTTGTCATTTGGTTGAAACAAAAAATAATAAATATTATCTTAATTATTACGATGATGTCCATCATTTCGCCTTAATAAACCTATCCTGGGCGTGTCATATTATGGGGCAGCGTACTCATAATCAGCTGCTACAGCATAAGATCGGCGAGTCGGACATCTTTGCATTCGGATGATAAGATGCTCGCGTAGCCCTCGTACTTCGTAACGGCCGCTCTCGCTAGCGGTGATATGCGGACCCTTAATCACCTCCGACTATTTCATTCTTGCATAAGACGCTCGTGTACGACTGACCCTCCTATTTCGGCCGCCCTCGTTACCGGCAGCGCACGTGCCTTTTTGGAATGGCCGTTCTCGCTATCAACGATACGCGAGGCCCTGTACATGCCCTCTCTCTCGCGTCTCGCGTTCTAGCGTACCCTCACCATTCTCATCACCGCGTACGTGACACTCTCTCTCTCTCTCTCTCTTTAGCGTTTCGCGCTCTAGCGTATCCCCACCACTCTCGGCACTATGGTAGATGAGAGGAGTGGGGGTACGTGACGTAGCGTAACATCACAGGCTTACTCGGCGCCAGTGACGTCATTTGTTTAGTCTATCCATAGTGGTTCCTATACTACTTGTCTTTCTTGTATTTCCGGGTGCTCATTTACATGCTCATTTAATAATTTACAGATTTCTATTTATTCGAGGAATACGAAGAATGGTGTAGAACATAAATACTGTGACGGATAGCAATGATACACCGAACGGTGTCGACAACGGACACTTTGTTCGGGGGGGGGGGGGAATTCCGGGCCCGCAGCGCGCGGACGATTGTTCGTCACCTTCGCCCGATCGTCTAGGCGGATCCATTCGAGCCACTCAAAATTATTTCCCGGTTTCGGGAACGAGACGCAAAGTTGGGCGCCAGGCCTCCCCGGAGGCCAAAAATACTCGACGGCAAACTCTCGAAAATCTCAACAACTTAAAATTCCAATACTCTCGAACAAATCTCGACAAACTCCAAATTGACTCAACGGACTAGGCTCGAACGATCTCCGCCTCGACGATCGTCGCGGCGCGGCCGACTAGCTCAGAGCGCGCACGCGCCAAGGTTCGGAGAGGGCATGGGTAAGACCAAGATGCGGGGACAAAGGGGAAAAACTTCAACAACTTTGGGAAATTAAGCTTAGGCTCGAGGAAACCGGGGAATTCAGCCACACTTACTCAAAAGAAAAACGAATTCGGATTTGGTACCAAGTTTTAACAAATTTATTCTAGCAGTAAAAAGAAAGAGAAAATAATTCAATTAACCCTAATAAAGTGAAGCGAGGAAACAGAAAGGCGACATGAAAATAGGGTTCGGCGGAAGGCCGCCCAAAAGATAATTAAATTAGCAAGGTAATTCTCGCGAGACAAGTAGGCGAGAGATAGTTGAAGCAGGAAATAGAAAATCAAGGGAATATCTGATATCTTAGAAAAGTTAATAGACAATTTAACGCGAAATAGGCAACAAAAAGGCTCCGCTCGACACAAATTCGAGGGTTCGTCAACTCTCGGAAAATCTATTTCCGCGGGCTCCAATCGACCATCATACAAAAACAATTCGATAATTCACCTTACAAAAAAATACACCACGGGTTCGCTATAATAAAGAGTATGGGTCACCTAAATTCTAACTCGCACACAATGAAAATACAATTCAATGATTCAAAAATCGGACATGCTCCAAATACAATGCAATAATTCAGAAATTGGACCTGCTCAAAATACCATTCAATAATTAAGAAATTTGCGCTCGCGTTCATGGACTAAGGGACTCGAAATGACACGACCTGTTCACGACTCTAAATTTCTGCAAGGTTGTACAAAATTCATTCGACGGACGAGTCGCAAACCTACTCTCAAAAGGATTCCGCAAACTAAACTCAAAAATTAAACTCAAAAGGATCGCAACTTCCACCGGAAAAAAGCGGGCTTTCCGGGGAAGAAAATGGATCGCGGACGCGGGCGACCACGTGGTCGCCGCGCGGCTTCTCCGCCTCCGACCCCGAGGGAAAGATACTGGCCGCGCCTAGGACTCGACTTCTGGCCGTGACAAAGGACTCTAAATTTACTCAATCATAAGATCTTTGCACCAAAAATCCAAACCATTCGCAAATTTTCGGGGAACGATCACTTCAAAATATCTCGAAAAGGGCACTTTTCCCGCCGCGGGCCCAAACCATTCACAAATCGGCGCGAGAAAAATGACTCTACTGGACTCGAAAATTAGTCTCGGCGGAAGTCAAAACCGTTCACAAACTTCCGCCAGACAAAGAAAATCAAACTAAAAAGGAACTCGAACTTCACGGCCAGACAATAGAAAAGATAACTCGAACTGCGCGCTTCTACTTTAAAGGGGCGCGACAGAAAATTACAAAGAAAAGGGCTAGAAAATCATAGGACACGACTCGAAGAATACAAGGAAAAGTCGCTCTCGTGTCCACTCGAGGAACCCCACAGCCTCCCGAGAGGCTAACTCAAAATCCGATTTTCGCGAGTCGTAGGCCCCACCAGGGCAAACCGGAAGATCGCCCGCGTGAGACTGATGAAGACCGGCTACGCGGTACGCTTCCGCTCACCGGCGCGACACGATCCGGACCCTACAACTTCGCGAAATTACCCGGAGACTCTAATTTCTATTCTCAAAGGGGTCCCCGAATAGACACGTGGCACTCACTTTAGTTAGAAAATTCGCTGCCGCTCGCCGACCCCTCGGCTGAGTCCCTCACTGAGCCGGTCTTCGGGTCCCTTGGTGGCAACGGGAGACAAGTTGAGACAATCAGACAAAGTAAAAGAAAACTGTTTAGCACAGGTCCGCTCGGTCCGACGATCGTAGGCAGAGAAGATCGGGGCTCTCTAGGCGCTGTCCTATATAGGGCTTCGGCTGGCCAGTCCGAATTCCAATCGGCGCCGTTGATTGGTTGAGATGCCCCTTAGCACCAACTTTTCGGCGGAATCGACGTGCGCCGGCCCGATTCCTAGGGCAGGGGGTTGCGGCGGCGCGATCTTCGTGCGCGGTTGCTGGGCAACGGCGTTGCGCGCCTGGCGCACGTCGAGCCGCCGGCGATGCCACGGCCGTGCCGAGCGGTGGTTCATCGGGTCCCGATGGGCCCTGGTCTTCTGGGCCCCCGATATTTTCCCCTCCGGGGGATCCTGGCTCACCCGGGGACGGACCCTTGGGTAAGCCCCGGGTACTCCGGCGAGGGCGTAGAACCCACGCTCGCCTCGTCGGTGGCAGCCAGGGTCGCTGGAGCTCCTGCCTCCTGGTCCGGCTCCTGGCCGGGTAGTCCTGCTGCCCCTGCGGGCGGCCGCACCCGAGCCTCCAGGGCCCGTCTGCGGCCCGCCCCCGCAGGCAAGGCCACCAGGGGGTGTAGCAGGGCCGACTTGCCCTCCGGGTGGAACCGACGAACGGGCCGTGGCACCGCGGCTGATGAGCTCGGTCCTGGAGCTCCTGGCCGCCGCGGCTTCCTCGACGGCTTCTTTCTTCCCAGTCGGGGCGACGAGCGGTAGCGCGCGCGCGAGCGCGACCTCCGAGAGATCGCCGGTGTTGACACTCCGGCCTAGCGACCGGAGCCGCGCTACGCGATACAAAAGATTTCGCGAGCCCTCGATCACTTCGCCGAATATTCCTTCCGAATATCGGCTAGTGCTCGAGAACACGCCCGGGAACTCAAAAAAAAAAACAACAAATGAATGATTCCTTACAGGAAATCGGGAAGAGTTCCCGCGGATCGCTAAATTAGGCTGTAATAAAATATTAATGGGATTATTAAATAAGCATTCTCTCCCTCTCCCCCGGGGGTCGGTGACCGTCGGACCTCGGACCCTGCAACCAAAGACTGCAAAAAAAACATGTCGGCAGAAATTTGGGGGTCGCCATGGGGTGGCAAAATATACCACGTCACAATACATAAGAGACATGAAATCACGATTTCTTTTCTATGTCCGAAAGTTGATGCATCGTATATTTTCCTACGGCATTTCACTNCATGAATTCACGATTTCGTTTCTATGTCCGAAAGTTGATGCATCGTAAATTTTCCTAGGGCATTTCACTGTATGTATATTTAGAAACTATATTTTGTAAGCTAAGATAATATTCTAACTTCGGTTCAGTGGATGGAACAATTGAATCGCTAAGAAACTTGTTATCATTTAATAAAACATGTTTTATTATATTCTTTAAGAAATTCTGTAAGTAATTATTTAACTAAAACTACGTTATGTGAGTCAAGGACGCTTCACAATAATATTTAATTCATTTTCATCAATTGTAATTGTTTATGCACATTTATTTTCTTTAGGAAATCCATTTCGCCCTTCGAGTGATTCAAATTCTGCACTGCTCCCGTCGCTAGTACGCCGCGCGGCCGGAAGGGGCAGTAGATCCGGGAGGAAACCATCGACGAATGCCAATGTAGGCATAAAAATCCATTTTTTTTTTCTTTCTTCCGTTTAAATAAGAAATTTGTTCCTGTTCTGGTATTTCTGAATTCCTTTCAATCTCGTTCCCCTCTGTTTTTCGGAATGAATTGATAGAAATCAGATTTTGCGTTTTTCATTTATCGCCAGTGGAATAAAGGGCAAAGTAACTTTCAGGTATTCACTGTAATAAAAATGTTTTATTCAAATTAATTCCAGCCTTCTTGCCGGGCACATAGGCATCCCAAAGTCAATGATTTATATTTCTTAATACAGGATAAAAAATGTCCATTGTTTCTATACATTGTATAACGCTGTCTTTTAAGTGCATAAGTTTAAGTGCCGAGACAACCAATATTCATTTCAGTATAAAGTTATATAACTATAAGTCCTGCAAGAGAAGTTTAACGCCTCTTCAATACCATTCCTTGAATCTGTTTAAAGCCCTTTTCCACTCAGAAAATACAGTACTGTATGCTTTCCGTCTTTCTTCGCATGGTACAAAAATTTTCTCGACATGACGGAATTGAAGTAATTCCTCCTTTTTCTTCCATATTCCTGAAAAAAATTCTTATTATCATTAATTAAATGGTATTAGAAAAATTGACTAGTCTTAAATTAAAGAAATATATTTACCGTATTGCAAACCAGCCAAAAATGCTACTCCCAAAATAGGCATTTCACTACTCGTAGCACGTTCCACTTCTAATCCTGATAAATCTGCTAGTAGTTGCATGATGAAATCATTTTTGGATACTCCACCATCAATGCTAAAACATACATTCAACAGTGAATTAGGAGTGTTGAAAATTTAATTGGGTCGATGTTATGTATATTTAACAACCAATCGATACACGATCTGCGACAGGTTTTACACATGCATATAGATCTCCCTGAAGTAATATTTTTCTCACCGAATTGTATGGTAGGTAAAATGAGTTTCCTTGCATAGCGATTCGTACAATAATGAAATCCTAAAGACCATACTTTCTAACAAAGAACGTACAAGATGTGCTTTACTACAAGTTGGTTTGACACCTAAAAAACCAGCTGCTGCCGATTGATCGTTGATAGGAGCCTGTTATAAAACGAAACTTGCATTAATCCACTGTTTCTTTCCGTGTTCCGACAAAATTTTGTTGCAGATGTACGAAAGCAAACATTTGAGGTATTTTCTGACCTGCAAGCCACTAAAAGCAGGGATGAAATAGACCCCATCGGAATCATCAACCGAATTTGCCATGATGGAAGTCTCGGATGGTTCATTCACGATTCCTATAGAAATATTAAGATGATTAGGTCGATTATTAAGTTGGCCTATACACTAATTGAACATCTTAATAACAGATAACGCAAAATTGCGTCAATTGGATTACTTGAGGCAGGAGAGAGGAGGGGAGGGGTAGAGGGTGTGAGGGGGTAGATGTGAACCCTTATCACTCCGAGAATATTAGAAGACTGTTGCCGACGCGATGGACATTATCCGATAATTGCTGGGTCCCTTGGAGGGCCACTAGACCCGGGGATTCCGCGAGAACCCGCACCTCAGGTAGAGCATTCGGTTATCTGAGGGGTTGACCGGGATTTTCAGCAGGAGGGGATGTGTGGCGATGAACAGAGATGACTGGTCGACTTAGGTCGATTGAGAGGCAAGGAGAGAGGAAGTAGTAAGTGATCATTCGGGCAGCGCGGAACGAAAAAATGTAAAGAAAATATGAAGTGCGTGCTGTCGACGAAGAAAGAAGAGGCGGCCGTCCTAGGAGGGCCGCTGAGGAGACATCGAGAAAAGATGGAAGCTCAGGTAATCGTGCGGGGCGGGCCCGGGGGAACCGCCACTTGAGCACAGAGGGTTCGGGAAGAAGACGACTTCGGCTGGCCGCAGCGGTTGGTGGGACCGGGCCGTGGCTCTCCCGGGTTTCTTCCCTAGTCGGCTTCCGGGGCCTGTTCGGGGGGGGGGGGGCTGTCATGGGGCCTTGGTGCCTCGAGATCGGCGCTGCCGGTGACCCGGGTGTGTGGCGCACCCCATTTGGGGCTGTGCTCCATGGAGTCGCGTGTCCGTGTCCGGGTCCGGCGGCTGGGCCGTGACGGGTCGGTTTGGAAGTCCCCTTGGCTGGGCGGGGTCGACTTGGGGTGGACCGGTCGGGGTGCGCGGTTCGCGGTTGGAGGTGTCTCATAAGTGAGACGGGCATCACGCTGTGGCGCTGGTAATGTCCGACGGCGTGTCCGTCCCGGGCTGATAGCCTTAACGAACCTGGGCGACCAAGACAAGATCGTGGTTATCCCGTAAAGACCTGCATGAGGATCGAGACCGGGTAGCCGACCAATCACCGACGATGGTGAAAAACAAGAAATAAACGACGCCGTGCCGCTGAGGGGGCGCCTAAGCGCCGTAACCTAGCGGCAACGAAGCCTGGCGTCAACAAATGGTCCTTCGAGCCGGATACCTGGTCGAGGTATGCAGGGTGGAAGTAATCACCCGTACACGGATCGCGATGCTCGACTGGGAGGTCATTCTTTGTGCGATATCTGTGGTGAACATAACGAGCAGCAAGAATGTCTTTGCGAAGTGCTTCCAAGGAAGAAAAAGGGCGTGGACGTGGCCGCGATCGACAAGCTAACCCGAAGCCGGGTGAGCATAGGCCTCTCGATGCGATTCATGAAACCGCTGGTGAATCTACTGGTGAAGGGGCAGGCGGAGGACAACCCCTTGCGCAGCAGGAGGGTGGCCCGAGCCGTTCGCGGACTGGGAGTCCGCCATCGACAGACTCAAAGGTCACCAGCGCGAGCACAACATCAAGGAAGAGATGTCTCGAGCTTCAAGCTGCCGAGGAACGGGCGAAAATAAGGAAGGCTGCCATTCAGGAATGAGAGAGAATTGATCTGGAGCTTGTGGATCAAAGGTTACAAGCGGACCTGCTGGATGCGGAAGATGAGAATCAGGCCCAGGGCAGCCGGGCGGCGTAAATTGGGGACTCAGCAGGAGGTGCAAATGAACGCAATATCCGCCAATGGATGGAAGACTCTGAGCGGATTGCGTCGCCTCCGATGAATGAAGCCATGAAGACTGTTGAGCCTGAACAGCCGGCGCGTTCCGTGGGCGAGTCTAGTCGCGATGGAATTCGCCAGTTGACCGCGGCTATAACGCGGACATTGGACGCAGTTAGCTGATTGTCATCGATGAAGGATCGCCCAGTCTTTGGCGGTGACGTGCTCGAGTGGCCCGCGTTTAAGCGTGCGTTTCACTTATTCACCGCGAAGGGCGCATTTTCCGAAGAGGAGAACTTAGCGCGGTTGTACGGATGCTTGCGAGGCAAGGCAAGGGAGGCCGTGGCGTCCCTGGTGATCACGAAGAAGACGACTGCTGAAATAATAAAAGCGCCCTGAAATTGCGCTTCGGCAACCCTGATATGGTTACACAGAAGGTGCTGCAAGAAATAAAACGCTTGTCTAAAATAGAAGCACGTCTGGGCAATCTGGTCGTCGTTGCCACACTAGTGAGGAATTGTGTGGCAGCCATGGAGGCAGCCAACCACTTGGGCTACTTACATAGTCCGGAGCTGGGGGCTCAAATCACTGACAGAATGCCTCCTGCACTGATTCACCAGTATACACGCTTCGCACAAGGGAGTCAGGAGCCAGAGGAATCTCGACTGGTGAGATTGGCGAATTTCCTATTCTGCGAGGCTGAGCTTGTGACCAAGGCAGGCATCTGCAACCGACGATCGCCCTACACGAAAAGGGAAGAGCGATGGAACACGTCGGAGTGAGAGGTACGGTTATTGTAAAGGTGCATGGCATGCCATATCCCAGTGCCCGCAGCTTAAGAAGATTAGTGTCCAGGAGCGCTGGAAGTGGGCTAAACGGTCAGGTATCTGCTTTTTATGCCTTGTTAAAAAGCATCAGCGGTCCCGGTGCGAGGCAGCGCGGTGTGACCGCGCAGGGTGTGATCAAGTACACCATACCTTACTACACGGTACCTCTGAAAGGGCCAAGAAGACGACCGAGACCGGGCCGTCGCGGTCAGAAACTCAGGATACTGATAGAGTGGTCACGGCCAATACTTGGTCCCAAGGCAGCCGACGTATTTTATTAAAGGTCCTTCCAGTATGCCTGACTGGCCCTCGAGGCGACGTTAACACGTACGCCCTGTTGGACGAAGGATCCACCATGACGTTGGTGGACGCAGGTGTGGCAAAGGCTATCGGAGCGCACGGAGTGCAGATCAGATTTTCCCTACACGGAGTGCGAGGTATGGAAATATCTGAACCCAACAGCAGGAGGATGCCTTTGCGATAAGCGGGACGTCCCATGGACCAAACTATACGGTGTCGGGCGCCCGTACGGTGCGACAATTGGCTCTTCCATGTCAGTCCCTTCGAAAGAAGGACTTGAAACGATTCGGACATCTGGGTAGTGTGACTGGCTGAGTGCTACTCGAATGCGAACCCCAAGGTGTTGCTCGGGCAAGATAACTGGGATCTCATAATTTCTCGCGAAGTGCGCGAGGCAGGGTGGAACGCGCCGGTAGCCTCTCGTACTGGGCTGGGATGGGTTATCCATGGACACGCACCATCTAGAAACAAGCGCGGGAATGGAGAACTTGCCCTCGCTTTGGACGATCCGAAGGCCTGTGGGGCAGGGTATGCTGACATAGGAGACGATCACAGAAATTAAGACCTCTATGCTTTGATAAAGGCTAAATTTGCGTTCGTAGGAATGGGTATTACTGTGCATAGCAGGAAACCTGCAGCAATCCAACGAGCAGAAAAGCTGTTGGATGCCACAACACGTCAAGTCGGAAGACAGTGGGAGACGGGATTATTGTGGAGAAACGATACAATAGAGTTTCCGGATAGCCGAAACACGGCCCTGAATAGGCTTGACACGTTAGAATGCAAAATGGACCGCAATCCTGAGTTCCGCGCGGCATATTAAAGAGAAATGAATAACCTCCTTGAAAGCGGTTATGCAACCAAGGTTAGCGAAGCAGAGGATTGCACAGAACAAGTGTGGTATTTGCCACACTTCGGCGTGACAAACCCAAAATAAGCCGGGGAAACTAAGGCTAGTATTTGATGCAGTCGCGAAGACGCGGGGTGTGTATCTCAATGTCGATTTGCTGAGTGGACCAGACCTGCTAAATTCGTTATTGGGAGTCCTCGTGCGATTTAGGCAGCGCCGTGTGGCGTTCACCGGTAACATAAACGAAATGTTCCTACGCATCAAGATTCGGCCCGAAAATCGTTGTACGCAACGACTTTTGTGGCGTGAGGAATGGGGACGACAACGGGACACGTATCATATGACATCAATGATATTTGGGGCTGCTTCGTCACCGTGTTCGGTCCTTTATGTCAAAAACATAAATGCGCGAGCATTTGAAGAAAAATTTCCAACAGCCTGTAACGCCATCATTAAAAAACACTACATGGATGACTACCTGGATAGCGTGGACACCGAGGAGGAAGCTATACGCCTCATTCGTGAAGTGACCGAGATTCACCGACAGGGAGGATTTGAGGTCCGCGGGTGGTCCAGCAATAGTGAACGAGTTCGGATTAGCTTAACAGGGAAGAGAACGGCAACTGGAACCATCAATTTGGCATTATGTGAGCACCCTGTGGAGAGAACCCTGGGGGTCATGTGGAACCCCTCCACTGACACGCTTTCCTTCCACCTCAGTATGAAGAAGATACCGACGGACATCATGGAAGGGAAGCGCAAGCCCACCAAGCGAGAAATGCTGCGAGTAATAATGTCCGTGTTTGATCCCCAAGGTTTCCTAGCGCCCTTTACAATTCGTAGCAAACTATTGCTGCAGAATGTGTGGCGTAGCGGCATTGGATGGGACACACAACTAAAAGACGAAGAATATGAGCTATGGCAACGCTCGATGAAAGATTTAAAAAATATCACAGGACTGCACTGTGCCTCGCTGTTACGCTGTTCGTGCCCAACAACCAATGGACGCCAAGCTCCATGTTTTTTACGATGCAAGCGAGAAAGCGTTCGCCGCGGTCGTATACTGGCGATTACGCTATGATGCTACCACCACCGACGTCGCATTTATAGCGGGAAAGAGCAGGGTAGCGCCCCTGAAACTAATCTCTATCCCGCGGATGGAGCTGCAGGCGGCCGTATTGGCCGTCCGATTAACTCAAACCATCACTGAAGAGCATGAAATGAAAGCATCCATGCGTAGATACTGGACGGATTCACGCACTGTCTTATTATGGAGAAAATCTGATCCCCGAAACTATAAAGCGTTTGTAGCGCATCGTCTAGGAGAGATCGACGACATGACAAAGGTCGACGAATGGAGATGGGTTCCTACGAAGCAGAACTCCGCAGACGATGCGACCAGAGGCAATGAGACAACACTGACAGCGAACTCAAGATGGTTGCGGGGCCCATCCTTTCTCTCGCGGGATGAGTCGGAATGGCCGACATCGATACCATTGCGAGGTTTGGACCGCACCAGGGGCGAGCAACGACGACAATTTGTGGCCGTCAATACTGAGAGGCTCCAGGGTTCTCTGCCAAGCGTGGACCGATTTTCTTCATGGTTGTTGCTTGTACGAGCGACGGCGTGGGTACTCATATTCATTGCCCGATGCAGGAAAACATCAGGTTCAGGAATTAACAGCGAATACATTGAAAGAGCGGAACGACTCTGGATGGAGAAAGCCCAGGAGGATTGTTTTGGTCCAGAACTAGTGGCATTGAAGCAAGGACAGGCAGTGGACAGAAGCAGCCGACTATTCCAGCTGTCCCTCACGGTAGATATCTCGGAGGCGATGAAGTTTCCGGTCAGTCTGAACGGTCGACGTCCATACACGCGATTTCTCGCTATACATTACCATCAGAGGGCTGGCCACGAAAGCCCCGAGACAGTGGTCAACGAACTAAGACAGCGGTATTGGCTACTGAATCTCAGGTCTACGGTACGACAAGTGGCCAGCCATTGCCCGTGGTGTCGGGTGCAGAGAGCGAAACCACAGCAGCCCAGGATGGGAGATCTACCGCACGCACGCGTGGGTCACCACGCAAGGCCATTCACCCATTGTGGGGTAGATTATTTCGGCTCAATGGACGTGTGACGATCGGACGACGCCGAGAGAAGAGATGGGGCGCATTGTTCACTTGCCTCATAACAAGAGCCATACACTTGGAGCTGGCGGCGTCTCTCAGTACCGACTCAGCTATTATGGCGTTAAGGCGAATGGCTGCAAGGCGGGGGTGGCGGTCTGAAATGTACTCGGACAACGGCACCAATCTCCGAGGTGCCGACACTGAACTTCGACGAACCATCGCCGAAATTGACCAAGAGGCTTATAAAACAGAAACAACGAATCGGGACATCAGATGGCATTTCATCCCGCCATATGCGCCTCACATGGGAGGAAGCTGGGAAAGGCTCGACCGCAGCGTCAAGGTGCCACTTCGGGTGACGCTTAAGCAGCGAGCTCCAAAGGAGGAGACTCTGTCTACCCTCTTGGCGGAGGCGGAACATACAGTCAATAGTCGATCTCTAACACATGTGTCGGTGGACCACCGAGATCAGGATAGCTTGACACCCAATCATTTTTTGATCGGGACATCTTCGGGTGCCCCGGTCCCGGGATAGTTCAATGACGGCGATTTATGCTTGAGAAAGCAGTGGCGAACAGCTCAAAGACTAGCCGATATGTTCTGGAATAGATGGGTGAGAGATTACCTACCGACCTTGCTTCCCCGAAAAGGCAGGAGGAAGTGTGGCCATTGGCGATAAACGACTTGGCATAATTACCGACCATACTCTGCCAAGAGATGTTTGGCCGAAATGGATTGTGACTGGGACGCCGCCTGGTCGCGATGGGCGTGTCCGGGTCGTCGACGTGAGGACTGGGGGACACATCTGGGGCCCGCTCGGGGGGGTGGGGGTGGGGGTGTCATGGGGCCTTGGTGCCTCGAGATCGGCGCTGCTGGTGGCCTGGGTCTGCGACGCACCCCATTTGGCGCTGTGCTCCATGGGGTCGCGTGTCCGTGTCCGGGTCCGGCGGCTAGGCCGTGACGGGTCGGTTTAGAAGTCCCCTTGACTGGGCGGGGTCGACGCGGGGTGGACCGATCGGGGCGCGCGGTTCGCGGCTGGAGGTGTCTCATAAGTGAGACGGGCATCACGCTGTGGCGCCGGTAATGCCCGACGGCGTCTCCGTCCCGGGCTGATAGCCTTGACGAGCCTGGGCAACCAAGACAAGACCGTGGTTATTCCATAAAGACCTGCAAGAGGATCTAGACCGGGTAGCCGACCAATCACCGACGAGGGTGAAAAACAAGAAATAACGACGCCGTGCCGCTGAGGGGGCGCCTAAGCGCCGTAACCTAGCGGCAACGAAGCCTGGCGTCAACAAAGACTATAAGAAGTTGGCAGTATTATTGCCGGTTGGAGTGATAAGGGTTAAATGATGAAAGAGTGGGAAGAGAGAGAAGATGGGAGAGATCTGTATCCTTGTTGCACAGAGTTCAATAAGCATTTATGCGATGAGGATGAATGGTGGGCGGCTCTCCATCCCTATTCCACTCACAGACAATATATATCCGTGTTAAAGATTTTAGGCTTCCACGGTCAGAATTGTTCCTCAAATTTGTTGGGGCTTTCGGGAGTGACCCCCGTCCATTATCGCCACAAGGCGACGTTTCGCAAACGTTGCAGTTCGCTTCATCAGAGCAAACACTGATGAAATGTGGATCGAACTTGGGGAGTCCCCTTTTATAGGGTTGAGGTGCATTCTAATTGGCCAGTTCAGGTTGCGTGGTGGGGGGGAGCCTAATCTGGGGTCGCCAGGTGGGAGGGCCTAATCCGGGGTCGCCAAGTGGGGGGGTCGACCAATCCGTTTTTGAGAAATTTGATTGGCTAATCAAATTTAAAAAAAAACGGGAGAACGGTGTTTTCAATGGGATTCACTTGATATCCTCTGTCGCAATTTATGTTATTGGTTCTTTTGGATTTCTATTGCCTCTCGATGTTTTCTGGGAAAGATGTTGCAGGCTTAGGCTATGATTGATTTTTTCAGTGTCTGCCCTGATGAAGCGAACTGCAACGTTTGCGAAATGTCGGCCCTCTGACGAGAATACACGCGGGTCACTCCCGAAAGCCCCAACAAATTTAAGATGTACCCATGTTCATTTAAGCAATGCGTACGCATCGTTAGTATTGTCCGAGAGGAAAGTAACTGTATTACTATCATTTCAATAATCGCATAAAAATATGGTATGTTACAGTGGTATGATTGATTTAGGATAAATGAAATAAAGATAGAGGAATATCAAAATCGAATGTTGCAGATTGAAATTACACAAGTGAGAAATTACGGGAGTAGTAGTTAGGCAGAATGGGGCCTTGTGCTACCACACTGCTAAAATTGACAGCTCAGCGCCTTGTGCTACTATAACTGCAAAGATCAGCAGCACCGGCGCCTTCCGCTTGTTAAGACCATCTTCCTATATCGCTTAGCTGTAACGTACAGGAAATAATTTCTCTGGGGAATTGTTTACACCCAGAATGACAGGCCATCCTTAGCACGTGCACATTGGGTTTTACCGACGCACGACCGATAAGCATCTAAAGTATTTGTCCCGCATAGGCCCCTTTTAATAATTATAGTTTTCGGACGATACAATAGCCATTCTGCTTGGCTTTGACAGGACGACGACAGTCGTCGGGGCCTTCTCTCCTGGCCGCGCCTAAGTCAGGAAGCCGCACCGATTGATTGTTCTATTCGTGCTAAATGATGCCGCCCAAACCCCGTTTTCTGAGTGCGGTATTCAGGGTTCAAAATTCTGAAAAGGTTGCTTTTTGTCGTTGGCCAAGTGGAAAGATTGTACTCCCCCATCACAATTCATACAAATTTGGGAATGCGGGTTGACGACGAAGGGAGTTCAGTTAAAAATCGGCGAATGAACTTAGCTCAATGCGCGAGGGAATTGGAGCATAACACCGCTACCGTTACTGCTAAAATCGTCAGCATAGGGTCTTGTACTACTATAACTGCTAAAATCGACAACCTAATGCCCTGCGCTATCATAATAACTACTACAACCTTAGAACATATATATTCCGATGAAGCGATTCCTATTTAGGATACAAGGGGACGATTCCGGACCTGCAGCGCCCGGACGATCGCTTGTTACCTTCGCCCAATCATTTCGGCGGAGCTGTTCTCTCCACTCGACCAATATTCCACCAGAAAACAGACGAAAGTTGGGCGTCGGGCCTCTCCGAAGGCCAAAAGAAAAATTCACAAACCTCAATAATCTGAAAATTCTGGACAGCGGCAAAATAATACTCAAAATATTAGGCTCGAACTATCTCTCCGCCTCGACGTTCATCACGGCGCGGCCGGTTCGCTCAAAGCGCACGCGACAAGATTCGGCGAGGGCGGAGCAAGACCAAACCGCGGAGAAGAGAAATTCAAACAGAAAATCGGGGAACTCAAACCGGGAAACTGGGAAATTCAACCAACAAGCACATGAAAATAGTTTGGAACCGGCGGTCGCGTAACGGTCTATTAGCAGATAACTGCAACAATACACGAGTTTTTAAGTTTATATTTGACAACGAGCAACGGCTAAAACTTAGTGAAGGTCATTCAGGAAGGTAAACTTGACAACATACGTTAAAATGAAGGTCATCGGAGTTGAATCCCCTAACCTCTAGTTTCACGAAATCATTTTTTAATTTGATTACTGATTAACTAAATAATCAAACTCCTTTTTTCTGATTAATAATTATTTGAGTAATTAAAAAATTTGGAATTGTGATTACTCGGGTACTTCAATATTTAATTATCTTTAAGTGGATACTTTTTTGCTGATCCCTGGTACATAGTCCATTAACACTAAACCTACTGATGATTTATACCCCCATTACAAATACCATTTAAACCTGACAATTTGACTCGCCGGTGGTAAGTTTAGTGTTAACACGGACGGGCTGACACATTTTGTGAATATCTAGTTTCTTTCAGGCCTAGTCTTTACTAGTAAATATAATTCGTTTCGCAGAATAGTTATTGGAAATGTTTCGTGATTTCCTTACTCCTGACACCACGAATTCAAAATAGCTCACTCACCTTTATTGTAGCTTTAAGATTTTAAGTTCAATAAAAGGACAGTTTATTTACCAAGGTATTTCGCCCATTCTATTAAGGTCCCAGTATCGTTTGAGGCACCTTCAGCAACGTACACTAATTCTGAACCTATACGCCACCCAACAAGGGGATACAGGCCTGTAAATTAATGACACTATTAAAATTATCATTATTTTTTCATTTTAGACGATTTTGAAAGAAGCCACCTTATGTTTGTATACAGACTATTCCTAAATGTATCACTAGTTACCACTGACTGATGCATGGGGTTCATTTCCGGTATTGACATTAATAAATGATCCTGTACCCATCGTTATTTTAAGATCACCTGGATGAAAACAACACGAACCAAATAAGGAAGCGGCCTGATCAGCCATCTGAAATAAAAGTCAGTCTTTTAAGTTTGAAGTATTTGTAGAAAAATTTTGTAATTCTGTTCTGTAATTAACTAATAAAATCGTATTATAATTTGAGAATGCATTAAGAAATTTTGAAAATTGTTACGCAAATATTATGATTTTATGGATTAAACTCACCGAGCAGAGAATTGGAATGTCAGCTCCAAAAACTTCTTTTGAAACATAACCAAAGTTGGTGGTGGTATCCACGACTTCTGGAAATATATTTTGTGGTAATTGGAAAAGGTTTAATGCCCAACCAGCCCACCGCATTGTGAATGGATCAAAGAGGCCAGTGGCTGAAGCACTGGAAACGTCCGTTATATGTTTCCCTAAATAAAATACAAATCTTTGAAATTTCTGTAACGTACAACCTAGATATATTGTACAAAAAGCGTAGTTTCTAATAGTACCAGTAAATTTATAGAGGAGCCAACAATCAACTCCTCCAAACATTACTCGTCCTCTGCTAGCAGCTTCTTTCAGCCCTGGGACGTGTTGCAGTATCCAGTTCAATCGCAATGTCATCTATAAATCAAGATAAATTTGTGAAATTTAAATATTAACCGAACCTCTGAGTAGGTACACAGTGGCGGTTCTGGACCAATTGGTGTTTGCGCACACGTACACAGACACACAAGCGTGTGCAGCGAGCTTATGCACGTGTGATGAGTATCGTCGAGCGGGGAGTGACACTATCGATTCCAAAAATGTATGGTTGATTCCAAGAAATATGTCGGCAATCTTGAAGCATTCTCTCTCGGAAGATTCGCGATGTACTTTGACAATTTGTCGGCTCTCCTTGAGATATATCAAATTTTACATTTGTTATACGCCGGGATGTAGTTCTTTACGGTAAGAACTTATTGTCTCCACGTATGCAGGAGCAATACGCATTACCCGAACACGAAACCAGATCGCAACGTATAGATTGTCAACCAAGTCGACCCGACGATACGGACTCGGAAACCCCTTGAGCGGTTGCGACAGCCACTCCGTTACGGTGCCGGTCGGGTGTAGGCGATGGTCAGGCCCGTACACAAGTGGATCCAAGTGCTTCAAGGAACTATGGCGCCGACCCCGCCCTAGGGACGTCACGACCCCACAAAGAAGATCGAGGACACGGACATGACGGAAGTCCACATCGGATCGCTTTCAGGACATTTTTGGGATTATTTCCCCCAACCCCACTCGCGGAAGGGACTGGCGTCAACAACACCCCCACCAAAATCTCTGCCGACTGATAGATCGTTTGGAACCAAGATAATTCTGCATTGGCCTAGAATTCTCCGAACGGAGATTTCTGGATCAAATTTCATTTGATTATTTGCTCATTTCTAATAATCAGATTAAAGTACTGTGTCTCCTGTTTCTCATTTGTCATCCTTTTTGTCTTCGTCCCGGATGTGCGAGTATGCGTGCCTGTACGGAGTATGCCGTGACCTCCACCCCTCACCGGTAACACATTAGTTCAAACAATAGAACTTCAATCAACAGCCTTTCAATTCTAGAAATTCTGTCGGCCGCTATTGGATTCCAAGACTTCTTTCGACACCTCCCGCCATCCTCGACGTTGAGGCCGACTCGTCAGCTCTCGTTAGGTTGAGACGCAAAAGCGTCGTCTTCCTAAGCCTTTGAGGCAATGTTTCGAGAACGCCCGAAAAGCTTCATCTGCCCAGCTGGAGATCGACTCGTCGCCTATTCGATTCCAAGAACTGTTGTCAGTATTTCGTAGCGACTGAGCGGTTAGCGAGGCCGGGGAATTTTGCAAATTCTTCCAAATCGATCGGTGATAATGTGCGCTTCATAATTGCTTTATAATATAATATAACCACTTTATAATTGAATAAATAAGGAGAGTAAAACCCGAGCGACAAGGTTAACCCCTTTGGAGGCATCAGTAGATATTTATCCTTTGAGAATAATTGTTGGTTGCGGTGAGGATTTGTAACGGTAGCTCGGCAAATGCCAAGTATCTATCGCCTGCACCTTGCATTTTACCTTCCCTCCCGAGGCCGTAGCCGGTTGGAAGGTGAAGGTTACACGACTAGGTCTAGGGTGGAGTAATAACGAGTGAAAATGATTAAAGAATATCTTTGTTTATCTTCTCCGCAGGACCCTGGCGTTGGCCAACCTCGGTCGTCCGGTTTGTCGATCCCCGGGGTTTACATGACTTCGTATCGGCCTTGCGGCCAACCGCACCTGGAGGGTGAGCCTCCTTATCGGTCCCCCCCATNCCCTCTCCACCACCACCACCAGCAGAAGCTGTAAGCCAGACGAGTTGAAGAAATCGCTCTGGAATCGGTAATCGAATATTGGCGTCCTTCGAAGAATGACTGGCCTCCATTCTGAAACATGCGGCCGATCGACCGAGGCCCCTGCCGTGCCGCGATTCGGCATATGGATCTTCCTCGACAACCCCCGAGCGTCGCCGGAAATATTGTCGATGCAGCCATCGGTCCCAATACCGCGTCACATCATATGAAATGATACGTTTGTAGTAATTATCTTTTAATAATATAAGAGTATATCAGACATATTTGCCAACTTTATTATTAATCATAGAGAAATGAACATCTTTTTTTTTTACAAAAAGAAGTTAAACCCCCTCAAAATACACCTTTGGTGTACCAAAAACTTAGCTAAATACATTTATCTTAACTCAATTAATTGTAAAAATTGTTCAAATTGTTTCCTTCCTATGATAAGCTCAAGACAACTATTTTTGCTAAACGTAGTCCATGCTATTGAAATCTTAACTGAATTCTTTCTGCCAAATGTGACAGTACATTTTGTTTCACATATGTTGCAAGTACAAGTTTTCCACTAAATTTTCCAAAAAAATTAGAAATTAAATTTTATTGTCAAATTTAGTTTCTACATTTTGTATTCAGTTCGATACAGTTTTTAATATTTGTTTTTGGCTAGAGAAAGTGGAAAATCATCTGGCAATATAAGTGAAACAAAATGTACTCTGATATTTGACGAAAAGATTTCATCTGATATTTTAATGGCATGGATGTTCTACTGTATTTAGCAAATATAATTGATTTGAGCTTTCCATGGAAGGAAAGCAATTTCACGTATTTTTGTATTAAATGAGAAATTATAAATGTTTTTGGCTAAGTTTTTGTATACGGAAGGTCTGTTTTGAGAGGTTGTTTATCTTCTGCCACTTTTGACAATATAGCAGATGTCGGCGTGCATTGTAGCACCTATTATAGTTATCTGAATGCCAAAAGTAAACTATTTTCTTAAAGTTGGTTAGTTTATGTTGGGGTTCTACCTATTTCGAGCTACCTACCTTCCTCCGAAAAGAATATCTTTAAAGTTGACAAACTACTAGCGTTTAAAATAAAAATAAACACTTCGCAGCAAATAAATGGGCTTTAAACTGTTGGTAAAAATATCATAAATAAATAATAGGATTGAAGTGATAATAGGTAAACCCGTGAAGAAATGTATAAGAAATTGTACTCATGACCGACTCATGATCGACTAATCAGTTTTTGAGTTATCCTGCACGTCAGTTTGAAAAATTTAATCTCATGAAAAACACGTCTAATAGTGGCTTCAGGGTCAGTTAAATATTTTATCTATTTCTCTAGATTTTATTTTTAATTTGAAAATTGAGTCATTAGGTAACAAAATGTTGCTATTTCAATAGCATCTATTACATAACTTAAGAATTAAGACGTGATTTGTTTTGTATTTCTGTACAATTGTTTCGGATACTCTAACATTTATGAAGGCAAACGACTATGAACGTCGTAAATAATAATATGATGCATCTGGCTACTATCAGCTGTAACATTACTTTATAACGTTATTTTGACCTTAAAATTTTGTGTGAATATTTCAGAAATGTTGTATCTTGAATTTATAAAAAAAAACGCTTTCTTTTTAAATTCTACACGAAAATTGTCCCTTAACTAGCCGTTCTGTCATTGTACAAACAATTTAAGCAGTATATTTTTTCCACAGACACATCCACGATTACGATATGTCCATGATTAAGGACTACGCATCCGTTATTTATGGCTTTCGTGCACAATCATAATTGCGTAAATGTTCACAATCCGATGGGATAAAAAATTACCTGCGTATTCATGAGCTTGAGGACGCTACCAGCTAAAAATCTTTTGCTGCGAGACATCATGTATAGAAGGTGTGATCCAGCCCGTAAACTTTTCATTATCATGGATGAATTCCATTCTTGAACCAAGGTATCTGCTCGTAAATCCTTCCACGTTATAAATCTGAAAGGTATTAAAGTAAGTATTGACTGTATTGTTTTCCGTCCTCAGTACCAAATTTCTTTCTGTAGGTTGTTTCCTTGTTACCTATGATAGTGCTTCCCAGTTTCTGGATTCCAAGTAGTAAAACTACCACGCTGGGTCGATATTCCCAAGCAAGCAATGGACATGGGATCGATTCCACTTCCTGCAATTAGAACTGTTTTGCTTACAAGGAAACATTCCCAAGTGTCCGCCTCTGATCTTATTGAGTTTCATATATGTTGAAGAACACAAAAATCTAAGAGACACGTGTTTTTTTATATTTGCAATGGTCCACATTTAAGGGGTGAAACAACCCCCCAAAGTTTAGCGGAAAATCGGTTTTTTAAATATTTTTCGTAGGAGCAGTGGAGGGATTTCGACGAAACTTTCTATAAACGTATTCTGCATAAGGACGGTGACAACACAATATTGTTCAGCAATGTTGTACCCCCTCAAGGGGGTGAACTACCCTTCAAGTGACATTTTTTTGTAATATCCATTAAACAAGCACTCCTACTTAAGTTCCACTTACGCGATGAGATTGCTCGCAAAGAATTAAGAAATACATGTTTTTTGCTTTTTGGCAATAAACATTTACACATCGGTTGTAAACAATGAATACAGGTGGTATTCGGGTATATCCCGACTACCTTTATTGGGTTATATCGTGACCAATTCATCGTACATAAGTCGTGTCAATGGGTTATTCTTCAAAATGTCATTGATTTTCATAACATGCAATTATTTATAAATAAATTAAAAAATAGTTTCAGAGGCTAAAATTGTTTCGCAACGGATTCGACGATGCAGTCATCACCCGTTTCCAACTAGTAACACAATCTCCGTGGTGAAACGACAAAATTGGATTTTCGCTGTTTTTACGAAAAAATATTCAATTCTATATCATCTATATCTATATTCTATTCAAACGATTCTTTTGGATAGTATATTCCAATTTAATTCGTTTGAGATTACTGAAGATTCAACATTGGATTTTCAAGAACCTTTTCAAGCACCGGAGGTTGAGTATGTCGAAGATGAAGAAGAGTGGACTGAGGAAACGGTGCCACAAGCGTCTTCATTGGTTTGCCAAGACACAGCGGTTAACTTCGACTATAAAAAGAGAGCAGTAGAATTTTGGAGAAGTGGAAAGTCCGGCAATCTCAAATTTGCCACCGTTCAAGAACGATTTAGGAAACTTTCTGATGCTCGTGAATTAAGAAGGTGGGCGAACCAAGTAGATGATAGAGGATGTCGAAAAGAAAAATTACTGTATGTCTCTACATCCACGCTGAACAAATTACGAAACGCTGTTGACGCTGGTTTTATAGTACATGACGCAGATATCCAAAAATGGGCTCTAGAAGCATGGAGAGAACAGACAAACAACGACATGAGTTTTAAAGCATCGTCAAAANGACTTATCACAAATTGACTAAAAGACTGACTAGCCCTGACTTCTGATCGGACTGCTGGTTTTATTAGCAGGATATTCCAATTGGTGGGGGTTTCCTAGGGCGCAGGTGAGGGTGGACTTCGGAGTCGTGCTGATGCGTTGCGGAGTCATCAGGTTGTTTGCCCCGGGTCGGTCGTGACTTTTGGAGCCGTTTGGCCGGTGAACTCGTTGAATTCTTTCGCAAGAGTTTCGCGTTTCTGTACTCGGATTTCCATGGCTGACTCCGGTTAATAAAAAAAATGGATTTTTCCCTATTTTAGGGTACGGAAGGTACCTACGTAACAGATACAATTGAAAAAACGAAACCTGCCGACAAAAACATTGTGGCAATGATGATACCAAAGGGAACTACTGGTCGAATCTAACATTTAGATGTCTATGTTTTTCGAGTATGGAAAAATTTTGTGAGGCATTTTTTCTGATATTGTCCTTTAACATAATTATGACGTTAACCTTCATTTACGGAATAATATCACAAAATTACAATCACTCGGGCATAATCAGTTGTATTCTCCTAGATATAAAAGCCTGTTTCATTATGCATGGTATAAAAGTGGTTATATCGATGAAAGATTAAAAAACTTTGTGATGTTCAGTTATGAAATGTAATGTTTGTGGTGCAACAGCAATGTTACGGTGTTCTTGGTGCAAAAAAGCATTTTATATAAAGCACTGTTTCCACGAATACCACTACTGTAATAAATATGATCAGTAATATTAAATAATCTCCTGCTTTATAGAAAGATGTAAAAAATATTCTCTTATAACTTCCTGTTGATTAATTTCAGAATTAATATTTATACGCACAATCTTCTTGAATGTACTATTCTCGTACCTAAGGTATCGAATATCGCTGACTCTATTTTTTCGTAAAAACAGTGTAAATCCAATTTTATCGTTTCACCACGGAGATTGTGTTACTAGTTGGAAACGGGTGATAACTGCATCGCCGAATCCGTTGCGAAACAATTTTAGCCTCTGAAACTATTTTTTAATTTATTTATAAATAATTGCATGTTATGAAAATCAATGACATTTTGAAGAATAACCCATTGACTCGACCTATGTACGATGAATTGGTGACGATATAACCCAATAAAGGTAGTCGGGATATACCCGAATACCACCTGTATTCATTGTTTACAACCGATGTGTAAATGTTTATTGCCAAAAAGCAAAAAACATGTATTTCTTAATTTTTTGCGAGCAATCTCATCGCGTAAGTGGAACTTAAGTAGGAGTGCTTGTTTAATGGATATTATAAAAAAATATCACCTGAAGGGTATTTCACCCCCTTGAGGGGGTGCAACATTGCTGAACAATATTGTGTTGTCACCGTCCTTATACAGAATACGTTTATAGAAAGTTTCGTCGAAATCCCTCCACTGCTCCTACGAAAAATATTTAAAAAACCGATTTTTCGCTAAATTTTGGGGTGTTGTTTCATCCCTTAAATGTGGATCATTGCAGATATAATAAAACACGTATCTCTTAGATTTTTGTGTTCTTCAACATATATGAAACTCAATAAGATCGGAGGCGGACACTTGGGAATGTTTCCTTGTTAGTGAGATGGTGAGATGTATGACACAGATTTTTAATAGTAGCTAGATTGGTAACAATGGAATTAAATCTGTGTCCAATAAAATATTCTTCATAGATCATATTACCGTGTTTTTAAGAGGATATGAAAGAGTCAGCCTATATATATCTGATAAGTCAAATCGTTGGGGAAAGTATTCTCCGAATTGGGTGTACCGATTCGTTTCAAATTTTACCACGTGAATATGGAGGCCCTGAAGAACGCCATAAACTCATAAAATTTTATTTTTTATCCAAGATTTATTTAGTCATCATGAACTAGAACCAACATGGCGTGGTCCGTACACGTTTTAGAACGTGGTCCATACATGTTTTACACTTCTTGGCGGTTTAGAATCGAAAATGAAGAGTTTCGGGATCTAGGTCGAACAATTTAGAATACCGTAGAAATGGAATAAATTACAGAGTCAGATGGGAAAATGTGGTAAATACTTTCACCAACGATTGCAAGAGAATGCTGGCTTGTCCTGCGGTTAACACGTGTTTTTAGAGCAAAAATTTAGTTGCAGTTAAACGTCACAGATGACGACATTGGTTCGTCAAAATATAAGCAGCCATAAATTCATGGGATTTCGGCAGTTTTACTTCCGTTTTTTTTCTCATTACTTTACCGAAATGACATATAGAACCCTTCAGATCGTATCATTCTCAACGTAGACGGTAAAAAACATCAACATAAACATAAATGTCGGTAATAGGACGCGCCACCTTTGTTACCACTTGGGTGATCAAAACGGCATTACTACCAAAAAGGGTATGGATGAATTTTACTTTATCGACGTCGATTAAATTTCTTAGCGCCTTTCATATCCTCTTAATAGCGGATGTTGTTTACCCTACATATCTGTGATAGTTTGCTCTAAAAAAGTGATTTGCTTGGAAATATATATTTTAAAATGACACGATATTGTTTCATTAAAAACTACTTACACACCAGAGGAAAAGTTAGTATTTTCGTAAGTATTTACTTATTGGCCAGTATGAAATGGAAATTATGGGACAACGTTCTTCGTGCCTTATTTTCTACAGTCCTTTCTACCAATATTCGATATTATTGTTTTCTTTAAAAATGAACAGTTATTAAACAAATAATTAAGTGTAATATAAACTGTAGAGCTAATTTTGAAGGCCATACTGTGGACCTAATTTTAACTTATTTTGAACGTGTATGTGTTGACCGATGTCGAGTATATGTGGCGAATATTCAACTGAAAGCGCAGTTTTTTATGGCTAGCGGTGTATATTAGCAATTTAGTTTCTAATGAAAATCTGGTAATATATAACAGAAATGAATTGGACGACTGAAATTGAAATATACTAGTGATGTGACGAGTCGAGTGTTTTAACTCGTTAAACTCGGACAACTCGAGTCGTTTTTATTATAACTCGACTCAGTACAAACGAATACGAGTTATGCGCATAAGAGCGATACCGAGTAACGAGTGCTTAGAGCGAGACCGAGTTTCGAGAGCGAGTGTGAGATCGAGTCGCGAGTGGAGCAGTGAGACCGAGTTGCAAGTGTGAGAGCGAGACCGAGTTTTGAGTACAAGTGCGAAAGCGAGACTGAGACCGAGTTACACGTGTAAGAATGAGACCGAGTCAAGAGTACGAGAGCGAAACTGAACAGCCTTCTTCCTGTGGAACCAGTACCACACGTGTATCCAGGGGTGCCACAATTTGATATTTATCCATAGAGAGAGACATTCAAAGTTTCCTCCTGATGATCAGTCGCTTCCTTCCCCGATGTCAACGTTGCGAAACGTTTCCAAAATGGTTTGCAGTTGACATTATAAGTACATGAACGATCGAGAAATCTAGTTTAGCAAACGAGTAACTAAGGGGGTCTACTTTGCCGATGACAGGGCTCATACTTATACAAGAGCGTGTGATCTCATCAAAGGAAGTGGAGGGGGGACTCTTACTTTTCTGCCTACTAATATTATGTAGCTTGTCCGTATATTTAAGTAAACCATGTGTTCCAATTACATTTTCTACTCTTTTGTCGTATTTTGTCGCATTTAAGCATGTTTATAACCTATCATTAACTTGCCCTGTCGTTACACTTAACAGAATACAAAACGATTAAGTTTCACGTATGTTAACAA